AGTATGTTACAGAACTGGGCCTTCATCCTGACGACACTGGAACAATCCAGCAACACTATGGCGGTTTCATTGGATACGCACGACATGGCCTTGGCGCCAGCAAAGCGTGGAAGTCAAGCTGGTACTAAGAAGAATCAAACAGAATTTATGGTGATTGATACACCCTCAACCATATAACATTCATCTTGGAAGCCAGGTTTGCAATGCGATGGGACGTTCCCTCAACATGCCCAACTTACTACGGTTCCCCACAGAACAATGGAATTGAAGAAGTCAGAGGAGATCAAACTGCAGGTAAACCAGTTGCTCCATGGCAGCAACAAAGTCCACTTGCAATATTCGAGAGCCAAAAAGAAGCAGAAATTAAAAACAAGGGACATGGAGGTCCTAGATGATATCGGCAATGAGCCAACCGAAAAAAGTGAAGAAACACTAAAGAAAATCCTAGTCCAGGAGGGCGACGAAGAACGTTTCTTTCTTCTCGGTTCAGGCTTAGCCGAAGAAGAAGAAAGAGAACTGGAAGATTTTTTGAGAGCCAACATTGAGGTGTTCGCCTGGACACTTTATGAAATGCCTGGCATTGACCCCGAGGTCACTTGCCACAGACTGAATGTTGACAAGTCTGCAAAACCTGTGATTCAACGAGCCAGAAGACCGACATTGATGCACGTCGAAGCAGTAGAAGAAGAAGTAGGCAAATTTCTGGAAGCCGGGGCCATCCGAGAAGTTCACTATCCAACATGGCTGTCCAACACAGTAGTAGTGAAAAAGAAGAACGGTAAATGGAGGGTCTGTGTAGACTTTACTAGCCTCAACAAAGCCCGCCCCAAAAACAACTTTCCTCTGCCCAAGATCGACCAACTAGTAGATGCAACTTCAGGACATGAAAGGATGAGTTTTCTAGATGCATACAGGGGGTACCACCAAATTGCCATGTACCCTCCAGACGAGGAAAAAACTGCGTTCATCACCCTTAAAGGCTTGTACTGTTACAAGGTAATGCCTTTTGGGTTGAAAAACGCAGGAGCAACTTACCAAAGGTTAGTAACAAAGATGTTCAAGCACCTGATTGGCAAAACGGTAGAAGTCTACATCGATGACATGGTCGTGAAGACCAAAGAATCTAAGGGACATCTTACCGACCTAAAAGAGATCTTTGATATACTCAAAACATACCGGCTCTGACTCAACGCATCAAAGTGCGCGTTTGGAGTTGGATCAGGTAAGTTTCTAGGGTATCTAGTAACAAGAAAAGGCATAGAGGCCAGCCCAGACCAAATCAAGGCCATCCTAGAGCTACAGAGCCCGACGTTGGCGAAACAGGTTCAGATGGTTACTGGAAGGGCCGCAGCCCTAAACAGATTCATCAGCAGAAGCGCAGACAAATGCAGACCCTTCTTCAACTTGGTGAAAAAAGCCACAGACTTTCTGTGGACAGAAGAATGCGAAGCCGCTCTAGCCGACCTAAAGAAGTACTTGACCATAACTCCGGTTCTTTCCAATCCAGAACCAGGGGAAGAACTGTTTTTGTACTTGGCAGTTTCAGAACACGCAGTAAGTGCAGTACTAATCCGAGAAGAAAAAGGGGAGCAAAAAGCGGTTTATTATGTAAGTAAAACCTTGGCCGATGCAGAAACAAGGTATCTGCCGCTAGAGAAATTAATGCTGGCCTTAGTAATGGCTTCAAAGAAGTTGAACCATTATTTTCAGGCGCACAAGATTGTGGTCCTAACAGAGCACCCACTGAAGTCCTTGTTGCAACAAGGAGACTTAACAGGAAGGATAGCAAGATGGGCAGTGGCCCTGGGCCAATATGACCTGGAGTTCAGGCCGAGAACAGCAATAAAGGGCCAAGTTTTGGCTGACTTCGTGGCAGAATTCACACCTGAAACCACCGAACATCGGGCTCCGTTGAGCCGAGATGAGCAGTGTCCCAGCAAGCAAGGAGAAGCCCAGCCAAAGGCAAAAGAGCAAAGGAAGGAAAAACTTAGACCCTGCAGTATCTACATCGGCGATTCATTCAGGCTGTTCGTCGATGGAAGTTCAAACTGTCAAAGAGCGGGGGCAGGAGTACTGCTGATAGCTCCAGATGGAGAAATAATAGAACAATCCATCCGTTTGGGGTTCAAGGCCTCAAACAATGAAGCGAAGTACGAAGCATTAATTGCAGGGCTGAAACTGGCAGCAGCAGCAGAAGCCGATGAGGTAATTGTTTTTTGTGATTCACAACTTATTGTTAACCAATCAACAGGAGAATTTGCAGCCAGAGACGAAAGGATGTGGGCATATGCAAAAGAGGTCATCAGATTAGCAGCCCTTTTTCAGAACTGCCGACTACTGCAAGTCAGCCGAGATGACAACACCCACGCCGACGCGTTGGCTTACCTGGCAAGTTTAATACAGACTGGAAAAACAAGAATAATTATGATCGACTATATGTCGGGCCCGAGCATAGAACCAGAAAGCACAAAGCAGCAAGCAATGTGTGTGGACATGGGGCCAAGCTGGATGGATGTAATTATTTCATTCCTGAAAGAAGGAAAGTTGCCAGAAGATCGTAAGGAGGCACATAAAGTCAGATTGAAATCTGCAAGATTCTGTTTGACAGAAGATGGACATCTTTACAGAAGATCCTTCACTGGACCCCTTTTAAGGTGCGTACACCCTTTGCAGGTTGAAGATTTACGCTGGGGGCAGATCATTAGCCCACAGGGCCATTACCCAGGGGTATTGGTGGCCCTACATGCAAAAGGATGCTGAAGCCTACGTGAAGAAGTGTGAACAATGCCAAAAGTTCGCACCTTTGATACATCAGCCAGCTGCTGACCTAAACCCAGTGTCCAGCCCTTGGCCGTTTGCCCAATGGGGCATGGATCTGGTTGGGAAACTTCCCCAGGCAACTGGGCAGAGAAAATACTTGCTGGTGGCAACAGATTACTTTACAAAATGGATAGAGGCAGAACCTCTTGCCAAAATCCGAGATGTGGACGTCAAAAACTGTATATGGAGAAACATCATCACCAGATTTGGGATTTCAAGAGCAATAGTTGTCGACAACGGAACACAGTTTGACAGCAAAGAAGTTTTTTGTATTTGTGCCAAATCCAAAGATCAGATACTTCAACACAATTTCCAAAGAAGGTAAGCAGAGCATCCAACAAAGTAATTTTGGATGAATAAAGAAAAGGTGCAGGCAGCAAAAGGAAAGTGGTAGTGAGTTGCCAATAAGTTATTTATGCTTTGGCATATCAACTACGCCTAAGGGGAGAGAAGATCAACAGGGAATTTCCCCCCCCCCTTTTTTTTGGCGCCTCCCACCCATATGCTTATGGCACAGAAGCTGTCATCCCATGGAGATGGCATCCCAGGGTCAGGACCCAGGAGTAGAGAATGCTACTAATATGACATAGTCTTAGCCCGAGACTGGACCTCTTGGAAGAACGAAGAGAAAAGGACTGCAATTCTCAGCTAGCAATAGTACAGCAGTAACTTGCCTAGAGTTTACAACAAAAGGTCAATCCAAGAGAGTTCAATCGGCGACCTAGTCTGAGAAAGTCTCGTCGGAACAAAAAGATTCCCAGAGAGGGCAAGCTTGGCTTCCAAACGGAAGGGACCCTACAGAGATTACTTCGGATTAGCATGGAGCTTATCGGCTTGAAGATAACAGGGCAAAGCACGACCGGCACTGCCAAGACCTTGGAACACTTGTAATTTAAAATTCTTCTATCATTAGATGTGCAGTATTTTTTGCCGATGTCTTTAATAAAGTTTTTTCAAGAATTCTTTCAACACATATGACTGATAAAATTACATACTGATGTTTTCTGGAGACATGAACAATGAGAACCCAAGTAGAACTCAGGTTCATATTGGGGGCAGAAAGAAGAAGAATGCGTTTACCACTTGTTGAAATTTGTAGCAATTTACAAGTTGGTTAAACCAAGATAATGTTTAAAATTGAAATTAGACCGGGATGATGCTTAACCGAAGTTAAGCCAAGACGATTCCTTAATTCACTTGTTGAAATTTGTAGCAATTTACAAGTTAGAATTAAGCTGATTCCTTAATTCACTTGTTGAAATTTGTAGCAATTTACAAGTTGGAATTAAGCTGATTCCTTGACTTCACTTGTTGAAATTTGTAGCAATTTACAAGTTGGAGTCAAGCTGATTCCTTAATTCACTTGTTGAAATTTGTAGCAATTTACAAGTTGGAATTAAGCTGATTCCTTGTCTTCACTTGTTGAAATTTACAAGTTGAAGATAAGCCGAGATTACTGTTTCTCTTCACTTGTTGAAATTTGCAGCAATTTACAAATCGAAGTAAAGCCGAGGTTGTAGTTTGCAACTTATAGCAATCTACAGGTTGATCCAACCAAAGAAGATGCTTAACACTTGTTGAAATTTGTAGCAATTTACAAGATAATGTTAAGCCGGCATGTGATCATTCGTTGAAATTTATAGCAATTTGCAGATTGAAGTAAAAGCTAAGTATATTGTTCAAACACTTGTTAAAATTTACAGCAATTTACAAGTAGACCCCATTATTTAACACTTGTTATAACTTACGAACAGTTTACAGTATATGTTAACACTTGTTGAAATTTGTAGCAATTTACAAGTAGGTTAGACCGAGATCACTGTTTACATACTTGTTGAAACTTGAGAAGAAATTTGCAGAATTAATATTGAATAGTATATGTTAAACACATGTTGGAAATTATCAAGAGCTTTCAGGTCTGTGTCTTGCCGAAGTAAAGTTGGATGATTGATGTACCCGAGGTGTGTAACCCCGAGGAGATTGCACAAAGGTGGCAAAATATAGAAGGCATACAACCATGCAGAAGCAAATCAAAGAGGAATTAAAAGATTGAAGCATCCATAAAAAAAAAAACAATTTCAGTTATATACAAAGAAAGGCACATCGGCCATAAAAGGAAATTTACATTGTTCAGAAAACAAAACAGAGTATAAAAAGGCAAGGATATAAAGACATTCAAATCAGGATTCTTCAGCATTAATAGCTAGGGGAGCTGGGACCTCGGAAGATTCTGGTGGAACCTCCTCAGCAATCTTTTCTGCTTCAATCTCGGCGTCAATCTCTGCAAGAGTTTCATCAAGACTTTTTTCAGCTGGAGGAACGTCGGAAGATACTTGTTCAGGAGTTCCCTCCTTAATAACCTCCTCATCCTCTTCATGAGTCAGGTCTAGGATTTGATCATCTTGAGGAAAAGATTGGGTCTCATTGGCATCCTTAGGCTTCCTTACTAGAGCATCACCGTCATCCTTATCCTCATCTTCGGCTTCAGACTCAAACTCAGATTCCTCTTCAGCCTGACTTGGAGGTGGAAGAGGAGGAAATGGAAGAGGAATAGCTTCAGACTTACACAACGGCGAGTCATCTGGGACATTGAGTTTTTTGGCAAGGGCCATCCAACCGAGGGAGAAGCCCCTGTTGCATGCCTGCCTAACTTGAAGTTTGTATTCCTCAGTGACGTCGGCCACACCCTGGGCGTAGGCCTTCTCATCGACTTCTTTGATTTCGGCATTTTTTGTGGCCAGAGCCTCCTGAAGCTCTTTCTCAGCCTGAACCATTTTTGATTTAAACTCCTTCTTTTCAGTTTCGGCAACCTTTCTAATAGCCTTAGCAGACTCTGCTTTTTCTTCAGCCATCTGCTGGGCCTTAGCAGCGGCCTCGGCCTGATTTTCTAATTTCTTCATCTTTGATTCAAGAGATTTACTATCCTTCTTGAGGGCAGAAACCTCCCTCTTCAAGTCGACCACTCTTTGCCGATTTTCAAAAGATTGCATCGAAAACGAATGGGCGTGCTGGATGGCCTAAAAGAAAACAGAAGTGTTAGAAAATTTTCTAAGTATGAAGCAGAAAGAAAAGACAAAACAAGAAACACTTACTTGAACGGAGTGCTGGAGCATTAGCGCGTAGTTTTCGTACTCGCTGTACCCAGCATTTCGCTCCAGATCGCTTGGAAGGAGACATGAACAATGAGAACCCGAGTAGAACTCAGGTTCATATTGGGGGCAGAAAGAAGAAGAATGCGTTTACCACTTGTTGAAATTTGTAGCAATTTACAAGTTGAAATTAAGCTGATTCCTTATCTTCACTTGTTGAAATTTGTAGCAATTTACAAGTTGAAATTAAGCTGATTCCTTATCTTCACTTGTTGAAATTTGTAGCAATTTACAAGTTGAAATTAAGCTGATTCCTTATCTTCACTTGTTGAAATTTGTAGCAATTTACAAGTTGAAATTAAGCTGATTCCTTATCTTCACTTGTTGAAAATTCTTTTGGGCTTTGGTGGGGGCATGGATTGAGCTGGAACAGCATCAACATCGATAGGTAAGTCGGCTAAAAGATCTGCAGCAATAGGCTTCGGGCGACCCATCTCAGCAGTCTTGACAAGTCGACGTCGACGTTTTCTTTCTGGTATTGGGATCAAGTATGGGGCCGAAGGGGATGATTGATTGGTTGGGTCAGATGTGGACTCTTGATCTGTTCGGGATGAAGAAGCGGTTATAGTTGTGGCAGTAGGTGGAGAGAGGCTCTTCTTCTTTTTCTTCGGGACGTCGGGCAATGTGGATTTGTATGTCGGAATAAAGTTTAGTAACAGTGGAGCTTTGTGCTTGTGGATTGGAAGATCAAGAAGCTTTTTTAAATCTTTTCCTGGGAAGTACGATTGGCGAAAGTTTTTTGGTGGCTGATGAAGATCTGCAGGACAAACAAACAGACATTAGAAATAGACGAAATTTTGAAGACTTGGAAAAGAAATAACTAAGTATTGATGCTGGGCTCTTACCCTTGCCCTCTTTAACTGTTCGAGGAAGAGGGTAGAGGTGAACATCTTCGTCTGGATCAAATTTTCAATTTCCCGAAGCAATGACAAAGTCATCCCCGGCTCCCTTGTTGGAGTCCGGGAGGTCGGCTACAATTTTGAATTCAGTAGACCTCGGCTTGAGGTAGTAGATGTAACCTCTTTCCTTCAGGTTAAGGGGGCACATGGTATAACAATATTGTACATCGGCAAGGGTGATCCTAATATTTTCCTGCCTAGTTAGGGCTATGATACCATTAATCACTCGATAGGAGTTGATGGTAAGTTGCATGGGGTTCAACTTATAGAAGTGGAGAACCTCACGAAAAAGGGGATTGAGTGGAAGCCGGAGTCCGCACTCAGTAAAAGCTACTATAGGAAAGGGCATTGAATTATCCGTGGGCATGATAGAGTCATTATCTTCAGCCAGCCTCAGGTGGACATCGGCAGGAATAGAGAATTCTTGCCTAAAAAATTCAAGTTTACTTGGGGTGTTTACCTGGTGTCTCCACATACCCATTACGTCGGCTTAAACAAAGAAGGCTATGTTTCAGAAGATAGGTGTTTCAGAAGGGTTGCTAGAACCTCGGTTTCAAACCTGGGTAGGACTGGTAAGGTTTGTTTCAGTTTTTCCTAAAGATTGAAGGTTCTACAGACAAATCCCAAACCTAAAACTATAAAGACGAAGATCGAGGGCACAGATCTGATAAAGATACAAAAAACAGAGAACAAAAGCAAAGTTTCAAAAACAAGAACAGGGATGGGCTATCAAGAACACGAAGAATACAAAAAGGTTAAGGGCCAAGAACAGTGGTGAAACAGTGCAAAGTGTTCATGGCATGTGAAAAATCATGAAATAAGACGCATTCAGGTGAAGAATTCACAAATAATGCTTAAACAGAACAGTAATGGCAAGAAACTTCAGAAACAATCAAGAATTAGAAAAAGAGGGTAAGGGGGCTAGTTGCTTACCAAATAAAATGAAGTCGGAGCGATATTCGCCGAGATCAGACGACAGTTGTAACAGTGGCAAAAGCTTCGCGGGAATGGAAGAATAAAGACGATCGTAGAGTTTGGGGCTTAGAGCAATGGCAGATTCGAAGAATGCTAGAACTTTTAGAGAGAGAAAAAGCAAGAAATCAAAATGCAAAAAGTGGAGAAAGGAAGAGGGAAAGAAAAGTTTTATCAAAAACTTGAAACGGCGGCAAAAGCGGGCCATTTATTACGCCTGGAGCAACGCACATGTCAGACGGCGCAGACGAGTGAAAGACAGCTTTCAGGCGCGTCATTGACACGGGCTAATGAAGACAAAACACATGAAAGGAACGGTTAGATGTGCATGACAGCTCATGCGCGTGCTGGCGTTCATTTGAATTCTTGTTCTCCGAAGAGAAAACATCGGCTTGAAAATGAATTATCTCGGCCAAACAGTTTTTTAGCCACTATGCAGAAAAAATATATATTGATATAGGTTCCATCACCTCAAAATGCCGAGGTAATAGAACCTAGGGGGTAGTTGTGGGGATATATTTTCTAAGTACCAACACATAGCATGGTGACGCCGACGTGTCAGCCGAAGTGCCACGTGTCGTGGAAGTCACGCCGAGGTGATCGCGGAATTGCCGAGGTTACCTCCGAAGATATTGGAATCCAAGATAAGCGGATAAGGGACAAGAGTCCTAGGACAAAGAGGAGACTTAGCCAAGATAAGGATAAAGCTCTTAGGGAGTTTATCTTTATCTCTTGAGAAATCCAAAGTAAGCACTGAATTAAAGTCTATAGAAGTCATGCTTCTAGTGGGACTTGGATTGAGTTAACTATAAAAGAGAGGCACCCCCATGGGTCTAAGGTACATAGTTTTATACTCAAGTTTGTGAGTTTAGCACTTGGTTTATCTTTGAGAGATATACTGACTTGATCGTCGGAGTGCCCCCGGGTGGAAGAGCCATCGCCGAAGCCTTTTTCTTTCTGTTACAGGTTACTGAAGCCATCTATTCTGCCGGTGCTCTCCAGCTGATTACTAGGCGGGCAGTGTGGTCGGAAAATCACCCAAAGAGAAAAAGAGGGAGAGAAAGCAAGAGGGAAATGAGAGAAGAGAGGGGAAGAAAGACTCAACACTTAGGATTTTTTTTACTTCATTGAGGTAAGAATACATCACCTCTATCCTCCCTTAGATACCTCTAACTGAATTTATATGATTTATATATGCAAGGCTAAGCATGGTTAAGTGATATATAGCAAAATAGTACCATGCATGCTTAAAATTTTGAATAGGATGAGGGTCTCATTATGTGATAATTTCATATTCCTTCTTGCAAAAATAGATATATGGCTTAGCTACTGTTTTTATGTGTTAAATATTCTCCATTGTTGAGATAATCTTGCAAGAGAGTAGAATGAGATGAGAATGGCTTCCTTTTACCTGAAATTTAGATTCTTCCTCACTGTTTTAGACTTTATCGGATGAAAAGAGAGCTCTAATAAATTGAAAATGATTGATGTTAAAAATCTGTGTATACTGGAAGTAGATATAGGTGTTATACACTGTAAAATTTTTATAAAATCATTGGACACCATTTTCTTACCGAAACAAATAATTTCCCTAAGCGTCGCCCAGAAGCAGTGGCTTCAAACCGGTCCCATTGTCTCTACAAATGGTATTTTTCCGCACAACCACTTGGAATAGTTATATATAAGAGTTATCGTTCATTTTCCACCGATTTCACAAAAAATGGATAAGTCTAAAAGGAGAAATTGTAGTTTTACTAAAATGCGACAGAATCTGTCCAGTTTTCTTAGAAAAATTATTTGACCATCTTTTGTTGATTTTGAGTCTTCGAACCCTTCTGGAAATATGTTCTAAACTCAAGTATCTAACAAACTGTTCTAACCATGCCTCTTTTCAACACCGTTTGAGGACCCTTTTTATTTTTCGAACACAGAACACCTGTGCTGACGTTTCATGGCCTGCATATATTTTCACTTCATTGCTGTTTGGAGGCAACAACAATGCTGACTTTACCAGGTCATTGTTTATTCCACAGAATGAATTTTCAAGTGATTCAAATTGGCAAAGTTATATTTTTAAGTTACCTTTCAAACGCAGCTGGCTTATTAATTTTTTATTAAGTATTGAGAGAGAAACGCCAATTTTCCCAAAATGTGACAGAATCTGTCCAGTTTTCTTATAAAAATTATTTGACCATCTTCGACTGGTTTTCAATCTTCACACTCTTCTGAAAAAGTGTTCTAAACTCAAATATCTAGCAATTCATTCTTACCATACCTTTTTTTGGCACCGTTTGAGGCCGCTTTTCATTTTTCAAACACAATCACCTGTGTTTGAAGTTATGTAATCTCACTATCCCAAAAAAATCAGTTTTCTTCCAAATTTTATTTCTCCATTTTAAAATCATTTTTAGCCTTGGTATTCTTCTTGAAATATTTTCCTAACTTGATGAACTAGTACCAGTTAAAATATTGTAATGGTTGAACTTCGTTTGCTATGGATTTCATATTTTTTTTGTCTGACCATATAGTGCTGAAAGAAGAAGTGTGTGAATTCCTAAGAAACTTTGTGATGAGTCCTAAGACATTCTATCATATTTACTTTGGTTGCCATACAAGATTGTGTTGTTCTATATAAAAATTATGACACTATGGTTTTCAAACTAAAACTCGCACATGCATCAAAATGTGAATTCGACGAAGTAAAGAAACACAAAATTGAATAGATGCATTAAAGTTTACAAGTGATGGGGTGAGCCCGGTTTAGAATCTTGCACAAGTGAGTTGCGAACCCTAACATGGCACGGGAAGGTATTTCGGCTCTTATCGGTGTAGGTGATATAAGGTTGGTGGTGTGGGTGTCACAACACAGACCGTTCCCTTGGGGCAGACCATGGTGTCACGACTCAGGTACGTAACCCTGGTGTGTGGGCATCATTGGTAGTTACAGTAAGTAACATTTGAATATTTGAC